AACCGATAATTCTATTTTTACTTTTTTTCAGAAATCACGCTTTTTTTATTGCGCATTCCAAATAATATCAATCAAACTGCAGTGGAGTTGTTTTGATTAAGTAATAATAACTTAAACAAATACAGGTAATTTACAAAATTAAAGTTAATTGAAAGTATGTTTTTTTTACATATTAAAAGTTTGTTTTATAACAAAAGCAGATAACGCCAACAATCGTTTTTTGGCAAAAGCAGATAACGTCACATTTCATGCTTTAGAGTTTTAAAAAACACTTGTTTAATCTTTGTAATCTCCTCAGATGACAATGCCTGACAAACGTTGTTGTTGTTGTTGTGATCATAAACTGTATGGATGTGATTACGCACAATACACGGAGCTTTTCCCTCACCATTGTAACGCGTTGCTTTTGCAAGGTTTCCGTGAAAACGTTTCAGCTTTTATTTTCCTTTTTCGCCCCGAAGAAGATATAACAGGTTCATCAAGTTTGTGGAAATGATTCATCCTCGATCACATTTAGTCAGCTTTGACGAAACTCCTCTCAGCTAGCATGTCTTTTCAAAGTGAAAGTAGCCTTGTCACCTGACTGGAATACAACACGCTGATTCGCTAAAATGGACTTATCGGCTTCTGTTCAAAAACAACAAGGGCGCTTGTCGGCTTCTGCAGTAAAAACGTGAACTCGCAATGCCTTGAAAGTAGACAAAACTGGCTTTTTTAACAAAACGTGTTTAGGGTTCAGATCTATATATATATATTTTTTTTTATTTTTTTTTTTTATCACCTATATATATTTTTATCACCTATATATTTTTTATATCAACTAATGCTAAAAATTTCAAATATCAGCCAATAACCAATATGGTACTACTGATGTGCTGTGCATCCCTAGTAAACATATTTAGTCAGATGTGAGTTTGATTTCTGTATCTGATGTATACAAAAAAGGTTTCTTGGTGAGGTGCAAATACACGGCAAGTTTAAACTAGATAAAGTTTGTCAAGACCAACTTTAAATTGGCTTGAGAAAGCCTGATCAGAAAGTTGTAAAAGTTTTTACATTTTTTTAAAGTTTGACGGTTTTCAGTTTGAAATAGTTTGAAGTTTAAAGTAGTTTTAAAGCTTAAAGCTTGAATCTTTTGAAGGCAATACAGCCTGATAGACAGATAGATAGACAGATAGATAGGAAATATTACATAGAATTGAAGCTTAAATTAGTTCATATGGTTTCATATTGCCAAGGTATTCTGGATGGTTGCTAGGGTGTTGCTATGTGGTTGCTAAGGTACTCTGGGTGGTTGCTATGTTGTTGCTATGCGGCTGCTGTTGCTAGGGTGTTACTATGCTGTTGCTAGGGTACTTGGGGTGGTTACTAAAGTGTTGCTATGCGGTTGCTAGGGTATTCTGGGTGGTTGCTAGGTTGTCGGCTGCTATTGGGTACCTGAGGTTGTTGCTATGCGGTTGCTAGGGTACTCTGGGTGGTTGCTAGGGTGTTATTATGCGGTTGCTAGGTGCCACAGGTGGTTGCTAAGGTGCCCGGCGCAGTTGCTAGGGTGTTGCTATGTGGTTGCTAGGGTACTTGGGGTGGTTGCTAGGATGTTGCCATGTGGTTGCTAGGGTGTTGCTATGTGGTTGCTAGGGTACTGAGGGTGGTTGCTAGGTTGGTTTGGCTAGTTGCTAGAGTGTTGTTATAAACATAGATATATAGATAGATAGATAGATAGATAGATAGATAGATAGATAGATAGA